TATGGTTAGTCTGTGAAGCTTGACTGGTCCGTGTTGCTGGTGAGGTCAGGTTGACTGTATGGTTAGTCTGTGCAGCTTGACTGGTCCATGTTGCTGGTGAGGTCAGGTTGACTGTATGGTTAGTCTGTGCAGCTTGACTGGTCCATGTTGCTGGTGAGGTCAGGTTGACTGTATGGTTGGTCTGTGCAGCTTGACTGGTCCATGTTGCTGGTGAGGTCAGGTTGACTGTATGGTTAGTCTGTGCAGCTTGACTGGTCCATGTTGCGGGTGAGGTCAGGTTGACTGTATGGTTAGTCTGTGCAGCTTGACTGGTCCGTGTTGCTGGTGAGGTCAGGTTTGACTGTATGGTTAGTCTGTGCAGCTTGACTGGTCCATGCTGCTGGTGAGGTCAGGTTGACTGTATGGTTAGTCTGTGCAGCTTGACTGGTCCGTGTTGGTGAGGAGGTCAGGTTGACTGTATGGTTAGTCTGTGCAGCTTGACTGGTCCATGTTGCTGGTGAGGTCAGGTTGACTGTATGGTTAGTCTGTGCAGCTTGACTGGTCCGCTGTTGCTGGTGAGGTCAGGTTGACTGTATGGTTAGTCTGTGCAGCTTGACTGGTCCATGTTGCTGGTGAGGTCAGGTTGACTGTATGGTTAGTCTGTGCAGCTTGACTGGTCCATGTTGCTGGTGAGGTCAGGTTGACTGTATGGTTAGTCTGTGCAGCTTGACTGGTCCGTGTTGCTGGTGAGGTCAGGTTGACTGTATGGTTAGTCTGTGCAGCTTGACTGGTCCATGTTGCTGGTGAGGTCAGGTTGACTGTATGCAGCTTGACTGGTCCATGTTGCTGGTGCAGGTTGCTGTTGGTTAGTCTGTGCAGCTGGACTGGTCCATGTTGCTGGTGAGGTCAGGTTGACTGTATGGTTAGTCTGTGCAGCTTGACTGGTCCATGTTGCTGGTGAGGTCAGGTTGACTGTATGGTTAGTCTGTGCAGCTTGACTGGTCCATGTTGCTGGTGAGGTCAGGTTGACTGTATGGTTAGTCTGTGCAGCTTGACTGGTCCATGTTGCTGGTGAGGTCAGGTTGACTGTATGGTTAGTCTGTGCAGCTTGACTGGTCCGTGTTGCTGGTGAGGTCAGGTTGACTGTATGGTTAGTCTGTGCAGCTTGACTGGTCCATGTTGCTGGTGAGGTCAGGTTGACTGTATGGTTAGTCTGTGCAGCTTGACTGGTCCGTGTTGCTGGTGTAGGTCAGGTTGACTGTATGGTTGAGTCTGTGCAGCTTGACTGGTCCATGTTGCTGGTGAGGTCAGGTTGACTGTATGGTTAGTCTGTGCAGCTTGACTGGTCCATGTTGCTGGTGAGGTCAGGTTGACTGTATGGTTAGTCTGTGCAGCTTGACTGGTCCATGTTGCTGGTGAGGTCAGGTTGACTGTATGGTTAGTCTGTGCAGCTTGACTGGTCCATGTTGCTGGTGAGGTCAGGTTGACTGTATGGTTAGTCTGTGCAGCTTGACTGGTCCATGTTGCTGGTGAGGTCAGGTTGACTGTATGGTTAGTCTGTGCAGCTTGACTGGTCCATGTTGCTGGTGAGGTCAGGTTGACTGTATGGTTAGTCTGTGCAGCTTGACTGGTCCGTGTTGCTGGTGAGGTCAGGTTGACTGTATGGTTAGTCTGTGCAGCTTGACTGGTCCATGTTGCTGGTGAGGTCAGGTTGACTGTATGGTTAGTCTGCAGTGCAGCTTGACTGGTCCGTGACTGCTGGTGAGGTCAGGTTGACTGTATGGTTAGTCTGTGCAGCTTGACTGGTCCATGTTGCTGGTGAGGTCAGGTTGACTGTATGGTTAGTCTGTGCAGCTTGACTGGTCCGTGTTGCTGGTGAGGTCAGGTTGACTGTATGGTTAGTCTGTGCAGCTTGACTGGTCCGTGTTGCTGGTGAGGTCTGTGCGGCTGGTGAAAGCATCACCATAACTCGAAAATCAGGTATGAAGTCATTGTCCATGACTTGTATGGACCGTTCATGATATAGAGCTCATGACCTTGTCAGTCGTAGTGACCCACATGGTCCGTGTGGTCTCTATCACCATCACGGCTGATGTGGTCTACACGGCTGTTGTTTTCACCATGACTTAGGTTCGTTGAAAACAGCGAGGGTTGATCAAAGCCGTGAACTGGAGATGTGCTGTGCAGGGGTGACTTCCCCACCATGGTTACTAGGTCACTAGGTAATTCTTCTGCATGGGTGATCGTGACTGACGGCTCTGATCTTGACTTAGCCTCTCTTCACAGCCGTCTAGTTGGAGGAGGTGCCGACTTTTCTGTTTGAGCTAGGGTTGTCAGTCGCTCTGATAAATCCCTTATCAGATCCATTGAGCGCTGCTGATAAGGCTTCTTTTGTTACCAACTTCAGCTCACGTGTGGCAATTAACGGTGACCGTGCCGACAGAGAAGATGTCAATGTCCCCCCGTGTCCGCTGGAGCCTCTGCTGCTCTGTCCAGTATATCAGCTGTGATGATGAACGTAGTTGTCAGTTGTTCTTCGCAGGTCTCTTATCCTGACCCTTCTCTTTCGCCATGGCATATCTTTCAGAGGCTACTGGTGATAGGGTGTGCAGTACACAACCCTGTGCACTAAAAGAACCCACTCATCTGATGGTAAATGACCAGATGATTGACACACGAACACGTGCAGACACCTAGTTGCAGTATCATTGGACAAAATACTGCGACTATATGTCACAGTCCACCCAGCTGCAAAAGGGTACATGAGGATGAGGCTGTGTGATAACTCGCTGCCCCTGACAGACTGCATGAGTTGAATACTCCCCATGGAGTTGAGCTGGTTAATAGAATTCCAGAAAAAAGACATCCGTTGATAAAGGGAACACTCCAGCGCCTTGAGCATGTACTAGTTGCGTGGATATGTACGATATAGAAATATCCTATAAAAATAATAAATTTATTACAATTTTAATCTGATGGAGAGGAAGAGATATATTCAGTTCCTTTAGATTTACGCATCGATTAATAAAATCAGAAAACTTAAACCTGGGAATTTATGAACAAAATTAACAGAACAAACAAGAATGTGTTCATGTGCGTCACAGGAAAGATTTAGCTTCCTGCGCTTGTCGGAGGAGACAACTCCTTCAGATAGTGCTTGGGAAGACTGCTAGGAGGAAGGAGGACACAACTGAATGGATGTTTCAATTTCTTTATTCAGTTAAACCCGTGGATCAGAAATAAGTTATAGGAAAAGGTGTAATTAAGTGTATGGGCGGCGTATTCCTAAGGATACTACAGTGAAAGTTCTTCACAATATAGTCACTTATGTGGATCGCTGGTACGCACAAGATTTTACTCTGTCTCCATTGTTCATGCTCCAAACATTACTACGTTTCGGTTCTGCATGACAGCGTAAATGTTTTATTCAAAACAAATTCCATGTTATTGTTGCAAATCTAGATCTTTAAAATACCGCTCAATACAGGCTTTTGTCCACTCCTCTCTGTCAGAAAGTGACCTTTCCTCAACAAGTATAAAATGTGACGAAAATCAAGTTGGGTGTTTACAGGAAAATGTACATTTACGAAATATATACACGATACTTACTGTTCAATGTTTACTGATGGACCTTAGGACAGAAGCAGGCGCCAGCGTCCTCGGATACTTGCCAGTCCTCTTGAATACAAGGCAATAGATCCATGTTTACAGCTGGAACAACGTTAAGTTTTTCAACCAGCTTTGGTCTACTTTCAATGACAGTCTGCCATGTAAACATTTTATGTTGGTACTGATTCCCCCTGAATAATGTAAAATTGACTCATTCATTTATTTCAAATGCTTTGAATCATTATCATGATGTTTCAACTGACTGATTTTGCATAAGCCTTGGTTTGTTGATCAGCCATAAAGGCATAGAGGGTAGCAAAATGGCTGTGTATGCAGAAAACATATCGCACAACAAATCCGGGACACCAAGTTATATAATTGCAAACTTCAAACAACACCTGTATCAAAAATCAAATGCAAAATAAATGAGACGCCCAAATAAAAATAACAAGCTATATCGAAGTATCCCAAACATTGCTTACATATACTCGTTTTGTCAGTTCATATTTCAAGAGGTCATACTATGATAATGTCGATATCGTATAGACAAAAGGTGAGCATCTATGTACCCTTCCTGCCACGATTTCAATCAGCGCCCGAAAATAATGGAAAGGTGAAAGTTTTCCTTTTCATTGTTATTTAATGCTTTGTAAATATGATGAACTTGGATATATTAAGTGGGTGTCTTTTGTTCGATTTTGTTGGATAATGCAGGAGATTGGGGATGATAGAATATTCATTCAAACTGAGATTGAGGGATGTTTTACTCAAGATTGGTTTACTTATATTTCTGCTTCATCTAATTTAATAATGTATTGTACTTTTAAATCTCTCTTGCAACCTGAATACTATTTAAGTTCAATTCAACCATCAAATTTAAGAAAGGTTTTAGATGCTCAAATGATTTTAGAATCAATAGATCTAGATTATCCAACGGGTTGGATTTTATTAACGCTTTATGTCAATTTTGTATGGAAGGGGAAGAGGATGAATACCATGCAATGCTAATGTGTCCATCTTGTAAACAACTTCGTAAAAGGTATTTACCTGAATATTATTACAACTACCCATCAGTCCATAACTTTTATCCTTAATTACTACACATAATGATGAATTGTTATTTAAGCTAGCTCTTTTTGTGAAAATACATTGTATGTACAAGTTTAGAAATTCTATAAACCTCTAAGCGCTCTGTTGATTGTGTCATTATAAATGATATGTACTATTGGTCTCATGACCAAAACATACGCAATAAACACTGTTCTGTTCTAATCCGTTTTGGTCAGTTTTCCAAGGACATGGATTGTGAGATATTGCATTGTGCTATGAAGGCGGTGCCTAGAAAATTTAGAACTTGTAAAATTTGCATGTTTTGGAGATGTACATGTTAACCGTCAATGATCTGTTTTCAGTTGAGAATATCAACCTGCTGAACTGACTCAAAACAAAGACGTGTTTTCCTGACCCGGTGAACCTCGGTACTGTAGCAGGGATATACGATTTAGGTCAGGGTAATATTACATATGGTCTATAAAATATGTTTTGCATACACGAGACTGTTCATTATGACCCTTACTGGCTATGTGTACCACGATTTTATAATCCAAATAAAGCTCTTGTGTGAACTGATGACGTACTTTGTTGTCATAGAGAAAGTGCCATGATTACTATTTTGATTATAAAATCACACTAATAAATATATCTTGTCATATACATAACAGCAACATGTCAACAATCCAGTTATTGATACTGTGATCCACAATCGTGGGTGTACATGATATTGCAGATGATGTACGTACAGCTGTGTGCAAGCTTTCTACGAAGGGAATGTCGCAGAAAACAGCAATCTACCGAGCTGATGTCAAGTGACTTGTTTTGGTTTCGTTTTGTTCCCTCTACTTTAAATTCAAATAAAAGAATTGTGAGAGTCCAATAAAGATTGTTACTTGACATAGCCCCAGTGATGCAAAAGAACTCACAATGCGATTAAATCCATGAAACCCAACCAACAAACACTTACCTCTCACATTTTTCTTTTCTTATATGCTCTATCGCCGGATATCGATCAATCTTAAAGTTGACATTCTGAATCCTTTGGTTCCAAACCAAAGTCATGGCCATGGTCATGGTCATGGTGTGAATACGTGCATATAGTCTGAATACTCATGTATCGGAAGATTGTGATTTTAACGCGGAACACTGCTCAGGTATGTTTCCATTTGTTCATGCTTAAGCTTGAAACAACAAATGGAGACGAATGGTCGGTTAAAAAATAACAGATATTTGCTTTTCCCCAAGCTTTTTAATGCCCCAGAACCAAACGAGTCTTATGCTTCGATTACTAACACTACCAAAGACACTGGCACTTTCTCACATTCAAGCACAGTGATCTTCTTTATCTCAGGAACAATCATCATCACCACAGTACTCTCTAAAATCTCAATCTCAAACAAACTGTAAAAGTCTTACCACTTGTAAAACCCTGAACTCAATAAAAACACAATGGCAGAACCTTTTACACCGCACTCAGCAATATTCCAGCTATATGGCGGCGGTCAGTAAATAATCGAGTCTGGACCAGACAATTCAGTGATCAACAGCATGAACATCGATCTACGTAATTGGGATACGATGACATGTGTCAACCAAGTCAGCGAGTCTGACCACCCGATCCATTTAGTCGCCTCTTACGACATGCATGGGTTACTGAGGACCAACTCTAACCCGGACCTTCACGGGTGAGACGTGGCCAGATCACATCATCGCCACATCATCTTCTGTATTAGAAGGTAACATCGTCCTGTCGCTACAGATAAACCAGTAGTTAAAACCGGCCTGTATTTTATTGATGGTGCGTATGGATTCGTGCTCATCTCTGATTCTGTTTCGTTCTGTTCTCCGATTCGTTAATCAAGATGTTCTCCAGAACGTTTATTGTGAAGCCCTGGAAGCCCTTGTCTAGTGAGGGAGATAATGGCAAATCTCTGTTGTCCGCAGCGTAAGAGTCCTCCCCTAGAAGAGTAGAACGGCAGTAGCGATCAGGGTATTTTAAAGCACTGATGGTATGGTTCAGGTCCTTTATGATACTGACTGAGGCAGTTTGCGCTTATGTCAGGCCTTGAATAATTGAACTTCTGACTGCTTTATTTCAGCAGCGAATTCCTTCTGCTCTGATACTGCGGTATAGTATCTTGAACGAGCACTTCTAGGGCCGCAAACTTGTCTGTCAAGGTGTAGCTGGTTGATTTGAAATCTGTTGCTGCTTCCAGTCTGCATCCACAACGCCTTGATCAGCCATGCCATAAGTCGAGGTAGCAGTATCTGAAGGGCAATGGTCCGAGCTAAGCTTGTGCCCCATGCTGACATTAAAACTGCTTTAACTGTGGCTGGTCATAATGAATGTCTTTTCGAGTGTCTCGGTGGCGCACACCCTGTCTGAAGAGCATGTGCAGTCCGTGCCGGTTATCTTCTGGTTGGTGTGGTCCGTGCGGCTGGTCTGGACCATGTGACGGATAAGGTCCGTTCGGCTAGACTGGTCAGTGTGAGTGAAGAGGACCGTGTGGCTCGTGAAATCCACACCATAAATCCGTTGAATAGCAGGTTGCAAGGGGATCAAATCATAGGCCATGACCTGTGTAGATCTCTCATCCGGCTCGTGCTGCAGCATCCAGGCCCTGGTGACGCACACGTTCAGTGTGGTTGATACCATGGTCTATAGGGTGGAGTTCCCACCATAACTTTGGTGCATTGAAGACAGCAATGGCCGATCTTCGTTGTGGTTGACTGGGGAGGGGCTGACCCATGGTGACTTCTCCTCCGAGGCAATAAGGTCACCAGAGTATTCTTCAGCCAAGGTGATCGTAGCCAAGGTGATTTTCACGGTCGGTTAGATGGATGGGGTGTCTAGGGGGTGCTCTTAAGGCCTCTTCTGTTAAACTTTCGGTTCAGGTGCAGCAACTAAAGATGATTTGAGAACCTGCGTAACAGGAGGGACACCGAGCTCACCCGAGTCCACCAAAGTCTCCACTGATCTATCCATTTATAATGAATTGTATTGATGGTTGCTCCTTCATCAGCTTCTTATCCTTACCCTTCTACAGGAAGGTGATTCTTGAAAGTATGACAGTTCTACATAGAATGGCAGAACAAATTAAATGACAATGAAGAAGGGCAACGGCAACATAATGAAAAAGCAGTAATTACAGCAAGAGTGATTGAGTGAGTTTAGTTTTACGCCGACTCAGCAATATTGCAGCTATATGGCGGCGGTCTGTAAATAATCGAATCTGATCCGGGCAATCAACAGCATGAGCATCGATCTGCCCAACTGGAAACCGATGACATGTGTCAACCAAGTCAGCGAGCCTGACCGCCCGATCCCGTTAGTCGCATCTTACGACAAGCAGGGGTTACTGAAGATCAATATTCTAACCCGGACCTTCACGGGTCAATTACTGCAAGAAGAACAATGCTGAAATTATACACGGCTTCACCAATGACCAAGCTTCCAAATACGTCAATCCTGGGACTCTAGGGTTTTAAATTGCTCGTCTTCATGAAACTTGAGATGTGATAATAGATTACCAACGCAAGAGGTTGCCCCCTTTATATTCAGAACTTTCAAGCTGGGTCAGAATTCTTGAATGTTCTGGATGCGTTACATCCTTCCAGATCAGTCAAACCCCAGTCTAAATATAGTAACCAGCACATAACTGCCCTGTATCAAAACAGAAGCTATGTAACACAGTTACTGCACTGAATAACAGTGCCTCATAACAATACCAGTGAAAGTCAACTACAGCTGTCTCAGCAAAATTCAGAAATGATATCTTGAAATGGTGTAAAGCTTACAAAATCAAAAACAATTCATTTTCGTCGTAAACATACACTTCTTAAGGCTCTTCAGTTATAGTTAGATAATACTACAATAAAAGTTGGCGGAAGCCAAATGTTAGAGGGATGATATTTGACTGACATTTGACTTTTTACCACACATTAGATATCTTAAAGTCGATTGCTTGAAGGCCCAGACAGGAATTCAAATAGCCCTTTATACCGATTTATACCGATCACCTATCCATTCCAAAATAACTATGGCTCTGTAGTGTTTAATGTAGCTTTTAAAAAGCAATTTCAACTAAATAAATCAACAGGGATAAAGTCTCTGTCCTGGGACATTTGGCACATATCCTGGAGAGCCTTCCCTTGAACAACAGTGTATTAAATCTCCACGTCACTAGATATTTTCAAATTCCCCAGAAACCCGTCATTCTAGTTTCTATATGTAGAATCGGCGTCGTCCAACTACTGGGATTCGTATCCAACATCATGCCACTGATGCTGATATAGATTATGCCTTGGTCACATATCCACTTTTGCCATGAAAGATTAGTTTATGATGCCCGGCCGGGATGAAAAGCGGCAAAATTGAGAGATATATTGTATCATTATAAATACGACAACACACGGATGAAGCTTCTTCCGTTTATTCCCCGGGCCAGAGCCCAACTGCCGAACTTCTTTCGGACCTCCCGGGATATCCCTCGCCGCTGACTCTCGCGGGTCATCAGCCGGTCATCCCGGGACTCCAGGGAGCTCAGCCTAGCTCAGCCTCCCCGGCAAGTACATACATTAATATAATCTGTCTAGTCTACACATGCACTAAGTTCTTAATTCTACGTTGCCTACTTTGTTACACTATGTTTCATTTACAACATTTATGTATAACCCTTTATAATGCATAATATTTATAATATTATCTATAACATAACATCACTACGATATATGTGTGACCTAGGCATTATATGTAATCACCTCAGACAAATTATACCTACTAAGACAGCCTTTCTTTGTGCCCGTTAGGACGACCTTTAGCGCTAGGTGTGCTAGAGGTGCTGTCAGGCCTCGATTTGGGGAATGAGCTATAGGGAGCGAACCTTGAACAAGAAAGGTGGCAGAGCTGTGAGTTCCTGGGTTTATTCAAGCAAGTGTCTTGCATGACATTCAAAATACATCAATTCATACCTAATAATGACATACAATAATAGAAATAATAATCAATGATATCCTAATACAGTTTATATCTAAGTCAGGTAATTGAAACAATGTGTGGTACAACAGGGTATGTACGGTAACTGCTTACAGAAACATAATACAAATAATACAACATTTGCTTGAGTAACTACGGTACTGATAAATAACATAACGTGACGGATAAATAAATCATCAACCACAATTGCAGCGGACAAGTACTGAGTGGAGCGCCCAACGGTTTAATTACAGCATGTAGTGCCTAGTTCTTTAACTGGTGTACGGATTTATGACTTTTACGTTATGTCGCGCCTAATGCGTTAACTACGGGACCCATTAATGACAATCACGGTATGTAGTGCCTATCGCGTTAACTACGGTAGGAATTTATGATTATTACGGTATGTTGTGCTTAATGTATTGACTACGGTAGGATTTTACGACTAATACGGTATGTCGCGCTTAATGCATTAACTACGGTAACGATTTATGACTAGTGTAAGTAAATTTCCGTTATCAACATACATGCCTTGAGCAAATACGGTAAACGGCGCGAAGTGCTCAGATTTGA